TTCCTTCAATTAGCTTTGGAAATTGCAATTCCCTTATTTGAAGTAATCATATCCATGGAATATTCATATTGGTCATAAAGATCAGCAAACAGTAGAGGAGTTGGAATAGAATGAAGGAGATTCTGAAAGCGTTAAAAGATTTCAATGATTGTACCATTCGATTATCGTGTTTCGGTTACCGTTCCATCGATCAGTCGTGAACGTTCGCAATTTCAGAGCCCCACATCTTCAACATTGGACAGGTGGCCGCCAATTTCACCGAATACACAGAAGGTGGTCGTGCTTCGCAAGTGAAAATGCCCAAAATGATCGCACATAAATCGTTGGCCGAATCGCTTAAAGATCCGGAAATCTTGATTTGGGACTTTGCAAAAATGGAATATCCAACGCAGCTGCATGCACTCTGGCAGGCGCTATACAAATTCGAAGAAAAGGTACGAACATAGCAACATTCGGATGCAGTTTTCTGTTCAAATAGATTGATCAATGTAGCAGCCAAACAAAATTAGATACTCGTCTAAGGAGGTTGAGACTGATTATTGATTTGTGCTAACACTATCGATTGTAGCACGGTCGTCATCCGAAGCCACGTTGTGATACAGATGCTGAACTGCTCAAGAAAGAGTTACCGAGTGGAAGTGAAGTCGATGAAAAACTACTGAAAATGTTCAGTTATCAGGTATGCATGTAATTTGATCACGGTATTATCATTGTGTTGATCCATTCCGTTGCCTTGTCAATTATGAGGTGCTCAGTTGCGATTTGATACTACCATATCAAAAATCTGTCATCACGAAATTCTATTCTGGTTGTTTAATTTTTGTTACAAGAGTGAATACGAAGTTGTAGCATCTGAACGATTTCGCTTTGATTATCTCAAGTTTATCTGAAAGTCGATCTCTGCAACATAAGATTTTTTAATGTTAAGATATAAAGGGATAGGTAAACGATTTTATCTTATATTCACATTTTTACCTGACCAATCTATCTGATTGGATCAATTGCTTGTTGCAGGCGTCGGGTAATTTGGTATCAATCGCATCAGTGGTTGGAGGTATTGCGGCGCAGGAAGCGATGAAAGCTGTCACACATCATATGAACCCGTTGAAGCAGTATCTTTACATCGATTGTATCGAGGCGCTTCACGGAGAATGGTCACCGTACGATTGTTCCAAATTGACTGTCGACGATTGCAAAGCGGTACAAATTTTTTTTCAGTTTGTTTTTTTGTTTTTCACATGTTGGACTTGTTCTCTGATGGTTTTTGAATTTGTTTATACATCTTGGGTATGTGAATATTCTATGAAAGTGAAATTCAATGGTCTTGAGCAGAGACGATTGTCGGGTAGATATAAGAATCATGGTGATATATTTTTTTTAATTTTAGCGGAATTGCCGCTATGACGGGCAGATTGCTGTATTTGGTGAGGCATACCAGAAAGCGTTGATGAAACAAAAGTACTTCATTGTGGGTGCTGGTAAGTTCTTTCATTTGTTTGTGGCACTTTCTGATGGGATCTATTGTTTCGTATTCTTGCATTTATGATATTTTTCACGAGAAAGTATTCCTTTTTGCTCGATACTTTCTGAAATCTGCGTCAAAATGATAATATTAAGCAAAATTTTGAATAGGTTTTAAGATTGTTCGCGTTAATCTTTCGAGTTTGTTGACGTTGACGTTGACTTGTAGGTGCGATCGGATGTGAACTGTTGAAGAATCTGGCGATGATGGGTGTCGGGTGCGATGCGGCTGGCGAAGGCAAGGTGAAGATCACCGATATGGATCAAATTGAGATCAGCAATTTGAATCGACAGTTTCTGTTTCGACGAAACGACGTCGGTTGCAAAAAGTCCGAAGTGGCCGCGCGTGCCGTGATGGCGTTCAATCCGAATCTTAACATTGAAGCGCTCTCCGAACGCGTTGGAGCCGATACGGAGGGTATTTTCACCGATGATTTCTTCGCCGATTTGCACGGCGTATTGAACGCGCTGGACAATTTGGACGCTCGACGCTATATGGATCGTCGGTGTATTTACTATCGTTTACCACTGCTCGAATCCGGTACTATGGGTACAAAAGGCAACATCCAAGTGATCTATCCACATCTCACCGAATCCTACGGTTCGTCGGCGGATCCACCCGAAAAGGACATCCCGATTTGTACGTTGAAGAATTTCCCGAATGAAATCCAACACACAATTCAGTGGGCACGTGAACTGTTCGAAGGGTTGTTCTCGAATCCGGCTGAACGAGTGAATCAGTTTCTGTCCGATGAGCGCGCCTTCTTGGAGCGAGTCGAGCAGATGAGCGCCCATCAACGAATCCAAGTGTTGGATCAAGTGAAACGTGCCCTCATTGACGATAAACCGGCGGATGCTGAAGACTGTGTGAAATGGGCACGTTTACTGTTCCAAGAGAACTACCACAACGCTATCGCCCAGCTGCTGCACACGTTCCCACCCGATCAAATGACTAGTCAAGGAGTGAAATTTTGGTCAGGCTCAAAGCGTTGCCCACATGTGCTCGACTTTGACATCAACAAAGAGGAGCATTTCAATTTCGTCTATGCCGCATCGATACTTCGCGCCGAACAGTACAATTTGGAGCCAATCCTCGATCAGAAACGTATCATGAAAGTGCTGTCAACCATCAAACCAGAGCCATTCAAACCGAAAAGTGGTGTGAAGGTGGCGTTGACAGAGGCTGAGGCCAAAGAACAGTCGGAAATGATCAACGAAAATGATGCCGATGCTCAAATCTCAGCGCTCAAAATCAAACTAGCCAAATTGAACACGAAGACGTTGCAGAGGCTGACACCAATAGATTTCGAGAAAGACGATGACACAAATCATCATATGGAGTTCATCACGGCCGCGTCGAATCTTCGTGCTGAAAATTACGATATTCAACGTGCCGATCGTATGAAGGTCTGTTCGTTCATTTAATCCTCTATATTTGTTTGTGATTGTTGTACCGTAATGGTTAAAACAGGAACGATAATGGTTTTCTTTGTGTTGTTCCAAACATTTGAGTAAAAGTGAAGCGTATCAGAAGCACTTAAGTTACTTTTTGTATTGGTGGATTTAATGTTATTATTATTATCAGTGTAACGATTTAATTGTTATTTGTGTATTAGTATGAGTATTTCGTCGATTTCGATCACTTTATTTGATATCATTTTGGGTTGGTTCATTGATAATAGAGGGGATGCTGATGTGAGAGGTGCTTGATGGTAATGAATGCAAGTAATTTTCAGACGAAGCAAATCGCTGGCCGTATCATACCGGCAATAGCCACAACCACAGCGACAGTGGCTGGTTTGGTGTGTGTTGAACTGTATAAACTGATCAATGATCCTGAACAGCATCCAAAACAGTTATTAGTGCCTATCGACCAGTTCAGAAATGGCTTCTTGAATATGGCACTTCCATTCTTTGCATTCTCCGACCCGATTGCTGCACCGAAGAAGAAGGTAGACGAGTCGTTATTTTATGATCATTTGGATGAAAATGGAATTTGACGTGCAGAATGCTGACACTGAACTTAGTGAATTTTCTATTGAAACGATCAGTTATATTGATGTGAATATGGTTGGAAACAAGGGAGGGGGAGTCAATTTTTGTGGTCTTCCTCCGCCGCGTTTCTTTCGGACGAATATCGAAGAAGATTCAATCACCATCTCCTTTTTATAATATTTCTGTGATTAGATGTTTTTCCCAATGTTAGTGTTTTATTTTGAATTTCAGTACAACGGTCAAACATTTACGTTATGGGATCGTCTGGAGATCCAAGGACCAAAATCGCTCAAAGAACTTATCGATTGGATTCAAGTGGGTTTAGTTCTATTGTCATCTACATTGAGAGTTTTTCAATTTACTTTGATGTGGTTTTTATTCGACGTTTGAAAAATTGAAATTCAGTGTTTTTGTTGTTGTTCATATATTTAGAGGTAACATAACGTATTTCTTTATAGCATAAAATGTTGAATGCAAATTGTTTTAAGGAGCAATCGAAGTTGGAAGTTTCAATGCTGTCATCCGGTGTCTCGCTCATATATAGCTTCTTCATGAGTGGTGCGAAACGAGCTGAACGTATGAACCAAGAGTAAGTTTTGCAAAAAGGAATGCTAGTGTCAGTGATGATAAT